CGTCAAGCTCTCCCTAATACATCAAAATATAAAAACTGATTCAAAGAACCTTGGATTACAGGCAAAAAATTTAAAGTAGTAAGTGGTTTAAAATGTAAACAAAAAATCATTTTTTGTGACAATTGTTAATGTTTTATTTCTTTAAATCTTAGGAATGCTCTATTCTAAAGAGGTGATTTATAGCTGCAGATGTGTAGCTCTCCGGAAAAATTATATTGATAGACTGGAGAGCTACAGAGCCACCATTGAAAAAACTGCATATTTATTGCGCACAAAAAAGTGCGCTCAGTTCTCGATTTATTTCTCCATGTTTTTAAACTGTAATCTAAAAATATTACTAACCGTGTGCTCCTAACATATCCTTTTGCTGTTTCCACAACCGACATTTCTCATAATTGTTGTTAATAGTCCTCCTGACCCTGATATTGTAATCATCGAACATTTCGCTTATTAACACTACCGTTTTGGTTTCAAAGATAATTCGGTCCAATATACTTCATTCAGATGTAAACTACGAGAGTAATTGATTGAGGATAAAGGATTTTTTTTTTTTTGGAAATCTTTCCTTTTTTGCAATTGAGGTAAGAATTTGGAAGTATTAATCAAGAACCGAGCGCACTTTTTGTGCACAATAAATATACAGTTTTTTCAATGGGTGGCACTGTAGCTCTCTGGTCTATCAATATATTTTTCGGAGAGCTACAGATCTGCAGCTAGGTGATTTACTAACAATGCTATTTTAAATGTAGGATTACTTATTTACATGCCTCTGCCCTCAGATTAGAACTAACATTGGGAAAGGTCGAGGAAACTCGAAATTTTGATTGTCGCATTACACACCTGTGAAGGAACTTGCGCAGTCCTTATCAAGCCTAGTCCTAATCTACAACAATTCATCGTCAGCTTTTACACCAAACTACAAAATGGAAACATTATCTCTATAAACTGGACCGGTTTCTGTCAGCAAACCTCATCGATCGGTCGGGGTCATTGAAGTGGTGCAAATTTGTGGACGTCAAACCCGATGAAAATTATACATGGGGGGGGGGGGGGGGGGTTAGGAATCTTAAGGACATACACAAACGTACATATACAAAAAATCTACAATGTACCTTCCCAATTGATTATTTTCTATGAAATTCTAAATGTTGAATTATCCTAGTTCCATATGATGTTCTCACAGGCACATGACGTTACTTATTTTTCTTTTTATCTAAAGAAAAATAAGTAACGTCAGGTGCCTGTGGATGTTATTGCACAAAAATAAGCATAAATTATCAGAAGTTTTGACTAGATAAAAATTATGAAAATTAAAGTACATTAAAATTAGCATAAGTAAAGCTTTAGCTTGTAGAGGAGGTGCACAGAATTATCATACATAATCAATTACACTTGTCCTCACATTGTCCTTAAACAACTGGAAATTTTTAAATGAACAAAGAATTATAAAAATTAGTTTAAAACTACGTTGCGTATTCATGTCCTTAATGTAATGTGGCATTGTGAGATTAACTTTCGTAAAGTCCACCCATAATGATCCAGCTGTATAGTCACCCAACCAAACAGTTTGTTTCAACTATCTGAATTATTCATACAAGCTCAAAAGTTCATTTGAATAATGCAAAATTGGAACAGAGCATGCAAACACAAACCTAAAAAAATTGCTGGATCTGGTACCATTGAGGAGTGAGCATCCCCTGCCGACCTGTCACCCCCTCAGTATAGATAGACGAAATTTTCGATGATCTCAATTTCAGGGTCAGGAGGGCTAATAACAACACACGGTTAGTACTATTTTGAGATGACAGTTTAAAAACATGGAGAAATAAATTGAGAATAGCGCACTTTTTGTACGCAATAAATGTACAGTTTCTTTTTCAATAGGTGTCACTGTAGCTCTCCGGTCTGTCAACATATGTTTTCGGAGAGCTACAGTTCTGCAGCTATTAGAGGTTTTGGGCTTTAAAAGTCGTAACAGGTCCCAGATGTATCAGACTCTGTGGTATCTTTTATTTCATTTTTTTGCGCACTTTTGGGGAGAATTTCTCCACTTACCAGCATCGGTCAAATAAATACCTTTCACTCCCTAATTCTAGGTACATTATTTAACTTTTTTTTTTTTTTTTTTTATTGGCTTTCACAAGTACACAAAGCAGACTATATATATATATAAGCAAAGCATATAAACACATGTACACGGTAAATGTCTTGATAATTTCGTTCGTTTACAGCAGTACAAAGTTTACTTGTATACGTGAAAGTTATTTTATTTTATTTAAAAAAAAAGGGGGGGGGTCAGCAGTAGTAGAAAAATGCATTCAAATGTTTATAATTAGCTAATGTAAATCCTTAAAATTAGCATATAATTACATTTTACCATAAAAACAAATGATTTTTTTTTTTCAAAGTACATCACAGATTTTTTGCCAGTGCCTTTCATATTCCATATATTTACAACTTTGTAATAACAACACCTTTTCTGTAAAAATTCTCTCTATAATCCTCTTTATTAGGATGTCGATACTTAATTTTGGAATAATTTTATATTTACTAGCAAAAATAAATTGCTTTACAGTAAGTATAATCAAGTTTTGTAATTTACAAATATTTCTGTTCTCGTATTTACCAAAAAGTATTGATATTTTATCAAAACTACAATGCATCTCAAAATTGTCCAAAACCCATTCTTCAATCCTACACCATAAATCTTTTACTTTGAAACATTCTACAAACAAGTGGTCAATTGTTTCTATGTCACTTAAACAAAAAGTGCAGGCTGGTGAGTCAATCAACTTCAATTTAAAAAAAGATAATAATTTGTTGGAATAATTCTGTGTAATATTTGAAATTGGAGCCAGTGAAATTTGGATTCCTGAGTAACTTTGAAAGGAAGTTCAAATATTTTATTCCAATCTGCTTCATCAAAGAAAACATTATTTTCATTCCATTTTAAAAGAGAACTGATTGGCTCTCTCTTGTTATTTATAAATATTTTATACATATCCTTACACCCTTTATTACTTCTATAAAAAATGAAAGTTGAATGTGGAATATTTGGTCCAATAACCTTTAATCTTTTAATGTCCTCTATTCCTGCATACTTCAGTCTTTTTAATATAGCCCTCTTAAGACCATTATATTCAACAAAATTTGTTTTCACTTTTAAGTTTACTATGGTATCGAAGCTTAAAAAGTTACCATCATTATCAAACATTATTTAACTTATTTGTATAATTATCTTATCCACCTCCCAACCAACTATAGTTGTCTTTACAGGCAATAAACTCGTTTGACGTGAATTTTCAGCAATCTAACGAATAATTTTAAATAATCAAGCGAGTTTATCACTTGTAGAGACGACTATAAAAGGGTTGGTTGAATAATGTGTCTAGAATTAGGAAGTGAAAGGAAGTTAATTGAACGATGCTGGAAAGTGGAGAAATTCTCCCCAAAAGTGCGCAAAAAAATTGCACCGTAAATTGGATCTTTTTTGCATTACGAGATCTGTAGCGTTATGGTCAAAGACAAATATACAAAACCATAACGCTACAGATCTGCAGCTAACATTTTTTGCCCGATAAAAATATACGTATGCAAGAAATCTGTTATTTTGATACAGAGGTAATGTGAACCTTTTTGTAGCGGTAAATGAGTATATATATACAGCGGTGACGACGATTTTGAAGAAAAAAAATGCTGTAATGATATGTACCCGGTCTCTTGATGTAGGAGATAGATCTATTTTTGGAAATGTTCCAAACTTTAAATTTGCATGGTCATAGCTTTCGAATGGTTGGAGCTTTTATATTTTTCACGTGTATTTCGTGTACTAGTATTCAGGGGCCCGTTTTACAAAAGAACTTACGACTAAGACCAAAAACCTCAGATTATTGTAAAATTTTGCAAAATTAATAGTTCTCATTGAAATTGTGTAAAAAATATCTTATCACATTCCTTTTAATAAGTTTAAATTAATTTTCGATTTAATGTTAATCAAAAAGTTATATGAAAAATTAAATTTGGTCCTAAGTCGTAAGTCCTTTTGTAAAATGGGCCCCAGACCTTTTTCCTAGCACTTGTATTTTTGACCTTTCAACCTAAAAATTGCAATTCGACCAACTTTTGAAAAATTTAAACCTTGACCAGAACTTTTGAACGGTGGGTGCTAAGACTTTTGTATATCACATGTATTAACTTGGGTATCAACATCTTTCACCTTATGTCCTCGACTTTGGAGTTAAATCTACATTTGGAAGAAAAAACTTAACCATGCCTATACGTTTTGAATGTTTGCTGTTTGGACCTACATGTGAAATATATTGGAAATAGCCTTAGTGCTGTGTAGCAACCGCTAATGATATAAAGCCGCTTAATGATACAAATATCATTGAAGGTTGCAACTGCTTAATGCTTTAAATTATTACATAATTGGTTGACCTTTTCAACCATTAATGCTAAATCGCCGCTTAATGAAAGAATTATATCATTAAGCGGATGCGGATGGCAACTATTAATGCAATGATGAATGACATTGCAACGCTTAATGATGTGTATCATTAAGCGGTGTTATACCATTAGCGGTCGCTACAGTACTAACCATTCAGAAAATATCGCCGAGGTTAGAGTTTTCTTTTTCAAAAAGTAAGTCGCACTCCAAGGTCAATGTTCTGAGGTAAAAAAAAAATCCTTTGGAAAAGGCCTTGTCAGAAGTATTGCAAGATCGAAACATGTGTTTTTCTCGTAAGTTGTAACGGGAACTTTCTTTGGATATCAAAATTTTCAAATTCATAAACTTGGAGTTTGACCTACATTATTTAGATAAAAATATAAGAAAGGTGTACCAGAAAAAACATTTAGGCTCAGGAATAGAAGGTATTAATTAATAAAAAAAAAAACAAGAATAGTATTTTCTTTTAATTTTCTGATTTATTGTTTGAAATTGAACACTGTTTGCAGTATGATAGGATTGAACATAGTTAGTACTGTTACCACAGAGAGGTTCAGTAAGGATACATATCTGCTTTTTCACCTTTATCTCCTTTATCCCCCTTTGGCCCTCTATGTCCTCTGGGACCCGGTGGTCCTTTGGGTCCGGGGTGACCTCTCGGTCCTGTATCTCCTTTAGGACCTTGGTCCCCCTTGGGTCCGACTTCTCCCTGGGGCCCTGGGTCTCCCTTTTCACCTTTCTCCCCCATGTCGCCTTTAGCACCTTTATCTCCTTTCTCTCCCGGCTCCCCGGGGTCTCCCTTGTCCCCTTTAGGGCCTTTATTTCCCTTGGGACCCATTGGGCCCTGTATACCTTGAGGGCCAATATCTCCTTTATCTCCCTTTTCTCCCCTGTCTCCCTTCTCTCCTTTATCCCCTTTAAGTCCAGGGTGCCCCCGGGGGCCAGTGGGTCCTCTTTCGCCTGGGTCACCTTTTGGACCTCGAGGGCCCCTGTCTCCTTTCTCACCTCTGTCCCCCTTAGGTCCTTGTTCACCTGGATCTCCAGGGTCACCCTTTTCGCCTTGTATACCAGGAGGGCCCGTGTCTCCTTTTGGCCCTCTGTCTCCCTTAGGTCCTCGTTCACCGGGAATGCCCTGGGGTCCCTGATCGCCCTTCTCGCCCTGTGGACCTGGATCCCCTTTCTCCCCTCGTTCACCCTGAATTCCCTGTTCTCCTCGTTCACCCTTTTCTCCCTTTCCCCCTTTCTCTCCTTTCTCCCCTCGAGGACCGGGTGGACCCATGTCTCCTTTCAATCCGGGAATTCCTCTGTTACCCTTACGACCCGGCAGGCCCGGTATTCCGGGATGCCCTGGAGGTCCTTTATCGCCCTTTGGACCTGGAGGTCCTGGGTGGCCTTTAGGTCCCACTGGTCCTCTCATTCCTGGGTCGCCTTTCTCTCCCTTCATCCCGGGCTTGCCTTTAGGCCCCACTGGCCCAGGAGGTCCGGGTTCACCTTGCGGACCTGTGATTAAATAACATCACTTAGATAAGACGTTAAACAAAGGAAGATATTTTTATATATATTTTTTCTTACACATTCTTTAAATACATAATGACATTTAAAAAATCTTTAATTCATGTTTTATAAATGTCAAATGTAGGAAGCCGATACTTTAAACATGTAAACTTTAATGCTACGTTTAACAATTTTTTTTAGAAAAGAGAGCAAGCTGTTCTCTACGAGGGTTGTCCCAAAATTCCGTAGACAAGCGTTGTTTTTTTAGGAATCTTATGTCATACATTAATGAAACTTCGTATATAGATTAAACAAACACTATCTAATGGATTTATCGACAAATATGGAGTAACTACACAAATTATTCCCATTTAAAAGACATATTTCATTGTCTGGTGTAGGAAAGCGGCGCAATACCCAAAAGTTGCCATTAAAATTTGGTATATCATATTTAAAATCCTAAGGAAAAGTAATTACTACCTCATATTTTTTAATGGAAATGAAAATTCTTAATGTTGCTTTATTAACTATATTTCCTCAAATTTTGGTGTTAGTGCTTTGATAAATATGAATTTTATAACGTTTTATATACATGGGGTTGAAATCCGAATTTTTGAAAAATGGCGGTTGCGTTGGCCCAGGCGGCGCACTGGACTAGGATGAAGTGTTTTAATCGTGAATTCACTCTTACAGAAATGTTCCAGTCATAAATGTTTGGTTGACTAGGAAACTTTTTCTCGTCCTTAGTATTTACAATGACTAAAACGGTTTCTCTATGTATATGTGAATAACAGTAACTAAAATAAAAGACAGTGCAGAGAAATGGGCAAGAATTCCATTGTGCAAATTCATTAGGGAAAACAGACGAAAAGCCCATAGAAATAAAGAGTTTTCAAATTATTATTATTTTATACCTGTACATGCATATACTTTGTTTTACATATTTTAATGTTTGATCATATAGTAATTAAGATATTTTACATTTATAACCATAACCGTTTCGTTTAATTTCAGAATTTGATTCTAGTAACTAAAATATTTTCTCCAAAAATTTGAACCGTTGACAATTGTTCTTTTTGACGTTGGAGATTGCTCCGGGTGTCAGAGAACTATATCACTTCACATGATATTACTCGAAAAGTTTTCAAGTCAATATGATAAAACTTCGTAATTTATCTGCCAAGAACATGGTTTATCCACCCTGAAAATTTTATAAAGATACGTTAATTTCTTAAAAAGATATGAGCTCAGTCTACGAAATTTTGAAACAACCCTCGTATCTTGTATTTTGGGATATAAAAATACAAGAAGCAGAATTAATCATACCAGTAAGATCTTAAAAGAATATTGATAATTTAAAACAGAATATGCCACTATTAAATAATATTTTTCAGCTTTATTATTTAATGAGAGGCTTAGAATTTACAAATGACTTTTAGTTTTTAAGTCTTTAATCGGACCCTATTTTCTTTACTTTTAAAAATTCTACAGGATAAAACTATTCTTTCTTTGTTTCGTCTTTCCATTTTTTGGAAGCTCTAAACATGAAGAATTTTTTTTTGGATTTGGAGAAATATATATTATATAGTGCTTGAATTCTGCAAGAAAAATATTCAAAGACAATGGACTATGCGTGAACAGAAACACAGTGGTTTACATGTACTTACATTGAGAAAAGCAATGAAAACTAGTGCTAATTGTAACGGGGACCGTTACAGATGATCCCCAAACGCTCCCCAACTCCCTTTTGGTGTCATATTCCCTGTAAGCTTCATTAAATAAGACAAACTCTATGCATCTGAGATTTTAACAACATTTTCAAAGAAGTGTACAAAAATCATTTAAACTTTAGCATTGCACGCGTTCACATGTGAATGCATTTGCGTCCTGACCATATCATCTTGTCTACACAATCTATATTTTTAATACACTGAATATTAAAGTATTTAATCCAAAAATATTTAAAAAATACGCTCATTCAAGTGTATGTTTGATTTTACTCATTTCACGTGCACGCACGTGCATACATGAGCATGGTGACCATACCTTCTTGTAGAAGTCCATTACATCTATCTATGTTCTAAATTCCATCCCGTTTGGGTGAAAACTAAGGGAGTTATAGCTGTTTAAAGTTTCAGCCAATCAGATTGCAGCACATGTACACGCACGTGTACGCATGTGCATGGTGACCATACCTACTTGTAGAAGTCCATTATATCTATCTATATTCTAAATCCCATCCTGTTTGGTTGAAAACCAAGGGAGTTATAGCTGTTTAAAGTTTCAGCCAATCAGATTGCAGCGCACGTGCATGCACGTGTTTTCATGATAATTGCTTTATTTCGTGTTATAGGATATCCTAATGCATGACTATGTTCAAAATTTCAAAGGATTTCGTCAAAAAACAAGAAAGATATTGAGACTTTAGTTGCAGCCAATCAGAGCGAAGTGCACGTGCATGCGCGTGAGATCTTGCTATTTTCACCATGTCGTCATGTCTATACTACTAATATATCCTCACATTATGAGTTTCAAAGCATTTCATCTAAAAAAAGAAAAGTTGTGGCTATATCTATTATATTGGTCATTTCACGTGTTGCTCGTGCACGCTCTTGCAAGCACGTGCGCGCAAAATGACCTTGATTCCGCAAATCTACATAACATGTCTACTAACCCTAAAAAGGTTTTACCTACATCGGACGAACAGTTTACAAGATCATTCCCGGACAAAAAAGTTCCAGGAAGAAGAAGAAAAATAATAATAATAATAACTAGTGCTTATTGTAACGGGGACCGTTACAGATGTTCCCCAAACGCTCCCCAACTCCCTTTTGGTGCCATATTCCCTGTAAGCTTCATTAAATAGGACAAACTCTATGCATTTGAAATTTTAACAAGATTTACCCAGAAGTGAACCAAGTTCATTCAAATTTTAGCATTGCACGCGTGCGCAAGTGAATGCATATGCGTCATGACCATATCATCATGTCTACACAATCTGTATAGTTTAATACACTGAATATTAAAGTATTTAATCCAAAATTATTAAAAAAATACGCCCATTCAAGTGTATTTTTGATTTTACTCATATCACGTGCACGCACGTGCATACATGAGCATGGTGACCATACCTTCTTGTAGAAGTCCATTACATCTATCTATGTTCTAAATTCCACCCCGCTTGGTTGAAAACCAAGGGAGTTATAGCTGTTTCAAGTTTGAGCCAATCAGATTGCAGCGCACGTACACGCACGTGTACGCATGTGCATGGTGACCATACCTACTCCTAGAAGTCCACTATATCTATCTATGTTCCAAATCCCAACCTGTTTGGTTGAAAACCAAGGGAGTTATAGCTGTTTAAAGTTTCAGCCAGTCAGATTGCAGCGCACGTGCATGCACGTGTTTTCATGATAATTGCTTTATTTCATGTTGTAGGATATCATAATGCATGGGTATGTTCAAAATTTCAAAGGATTTCGTCAAAAAACAAGAAAGATATTGAGAATTTAGTATCAGCCAATCAGAGCGAAGCGCACGTGCATGCGCGTGAGATCTTGCTATTTTGACCATATCATATTGTCTATGCTACTAATATATCATCAGATTATGAGTTTCAAAGCATTTCATCCAAAAATAGAAAAGTTATGGCTATATCTATTATATTGGCCATTTCACGCGTTGCACGTGCACGCTCCTGCAAGCACGTGCGTGCAAAATGACCTTCATTCCGCAAATCTACATAACATGCCTACTGACCCTAAAAAGGTTTTACCTAAGTCGAATGTGTAGTTTACAAGATCACTCCCGGACAAAAAAGTACCCAGGAAGAAGAAGAAGAAAAATAATAATAATAAGAAACAGAGTAAAAACAATATGTTCCCCAACTTCGTTTGGGGAACATAATAATAAGAAACAGAGTAAAAACAATATGTTCCCCAACTTCGTTTGGGGAACATAATAATGGAAGTTAATTACTCATTCATGGCCTAATATATATACAATGCTAAGCATTTTTTAGTCTATCACAAACTGTGTAATTGAATGTAAATAACAATTTCGTTTATCTCACTTCTAGGGACAAATCACTCTAACAGCATGTAGCTGCCCTTCAATTAGAACTCTTTAGTGTGCAGTATTTAGAGCTTCCTTAAGATTCACCATTTATGTTCATTGAGACTGCTTACCTTTGATGTAGTGTTTGGAACACTTTGACACAGCATGCTGAAGATGTGAAATGAGATCCTGTAAATGCTGGACCTCTGCTTTAAGTTCTAAGTACTGTCTCCGGCATTTGTCCCATTCCTTATCGTATGCCCTCGCGGCAGTCTGCCACGCGAGACAGAAAGTCACTACTACAGCTAACGTGAGCTACATCGTGGTCCGCTAACTCACACACCTAAAACAGTCAGGGGGTTTATATAGGATCTCACAATGTAGCTCACCACCAGTCCAACAGGCCAAGCAGGGTTCATTGTGTAATCAATCGAGGAGGAACATGCCCTCATTTACATAAAACATAACTTGTTAATGGCGGTAATTCTTTATCGTATTAACTTACAGAACTTAAAAAACCCAGTTGTTGATTTATAGATTATGATTTATGTTTTCTTTTGACGGCTGTTCAAACTTGGTTTTCATAGTAGAATACACAACAATGAATGATCAGAAGTTTGCAGAAATTCCGTGTTAGTCCGGTTCTGGGATATAAACAGCAGCCAATCAGGAAAATGGTGGAAATTTCAATTTTCTTGCCACCCTTCACTTCAGGGGATATATTTTTGAATTCATACTGATAGCACCAATTATCATTTTGAGATAGTTGTTATGTAAATAAAGTTTAGTGTTCTGCATATGAAATTGCATATAGAATATATTTCAAATGTTTCTAAAAAGGGAGACTTTATCAATTGAAATTGAGACTTTATCAATTGAAATCTTTAAGCGACACTGATTTTTAAAATTTGACTGTTTTGATTGACAGCTAGCAAAGCTCTGTTTGTAGAGAAAGATCAAAGGCCTGAAGGGCACGCGAGTTGACTCGCTCGAGTTAACTGAGCTTTTTCATACATCTGGACACCATACCTTAAATTCAGTTTATTTTGCAAATTAACAGATTGAATATTATATATCTCTCTCGAAAATAAAGTGTATACAAGGAGTAGCTCGCTGTATGCGAACCAACTTAAAAAGTATTGAAAATAAGAAATATGACTGTAGGCTGTATCATGGTACATCACAAAAATAGCAGCCTAGTCCGTAATAGGAAACACACAAAAGTGCAAGAAACATTTAATATACCAGTAGTACTACAACAAGATAGTAAGCGAGTAAACATTGATTGAATATAGAAATTACGTCAAATAGTCATAAGAAGTGAAGAGAATGGCAGAAACCAAGCGAAAACGGCCTGCCAATTTCAAGTTTGAGATGCCAATTACTGAAGGAAAAAAGTAGTCTTGTCCGATTTATAGAAAAAAATACTTCTTAATAAAATAGCATAGTTTTTTGACCTATTTCAAGTATGCTGAATCCGAAAAAAATATGCTAGCCTTCATGAAAATGGATTTAAAGAGGTAAAAATGGCGATTCAAAATGGCGGACATCCAATTCTTCTAATTTTTTCTCAATGTCGTTCAAAATGGAGAAGTAATGAGTGAATATCTAACTTAGTGTAATAAAACTATGAAAAGGATAATAGAATGCTAATATTATTAGTTTAACTCAGAAAATTTAGTCGTTTCTACACTTAATTCGAATTTTCTCTGATTTATTTGTCTATTGTTATATATTCTGCTTTGTTCAGGATTTTACATTTGCAAATATCCATACACTACAGAATTGTATTTTTTTCCTCTGCATCTCACTATTCTACAATTGAATGACGGTGCAATTGTAAGTTAAAAGTCAAAATGTCAATAGAAGTGTTGACTAGATCGAAGTCAAGAATGACTTAAGCCTATTGGTACGAAAGCTTGTACATGATAGGAATCACGAGGAATCTGCAGACCCTCTTAAATTGCATAATTATACAACTTTTGGCACCAAAATATGCACACAATGTGATTCCAGATGATAAAAGTAGATAATTTTCTTGCTAATAGAATAACCTTTCTACACTAAATGACAACAAATCGACAAGAGCTACATGTCTTGAATATCAGAGATTTGATTGTCTTGAAAAGCGGGAGGGTATAGTAATCGGTATGTCCGTCCGTCCGTCTGTTACGATCTTATCCCTAATGGTTTTGTCTACTCATCAAGATCTAGCACTCCTATAAGTTTGGTGTCTTAATCTGTTACAGTTTAAGAGATCTCGTAATGTTAACTTCTTATTTTGAGGACAGGAAGTGAATTTTACAAAGATATTTGACGTTACTGTAGACATTTTCAGTTTGAATAACATATCCAAAAATCATAACAAATTCTTTATCTATAAAAATATTTATGGGAAAGAAAAATACTCAAAATATGAAGTTTTTCTCTTATAACTGTAAGTTGTCGTTTTTGTTTCCGGTGGGACTGACATATTTCGAAACTACAAATAAGATGCTATAATATGATGCAAAAAAATTTCAAGAAAGAAAAGTTGAAATTTTCGATTTCTTTGATCACTTCCTGTGACGACCGGAAGTGACGGCGGACAATCTTAACCCAAATGGGCTCGCCTACTCATCAAGATCTATTACTCCTATAAGTTTGGTGTCTTCATCTCTTACCGTTTCTGAGATATGAATCAGACAAAATATTTCTGAACAAGAGGCCCAGGGGCCACATTGCTCACCTGAGTGAAAGACCTTTACTTGCAAGAATTATGCAAGTAGATGTTAGAGTATGGACTCCCTCTTTTTACTCATTTACTGTCATTGGGCTTGATCTAAGTATAAAATTGGTACATGTAAGAATGGCTTTCTTTTCAAACAGTGCTTAATGCCTACCTCATTATCAATTTAGTCAGAAAGAGGTGAATATCAGTATTTCTGCAGAATATAGCACTTGTACCGTCAACTCTGAAGTGTAATATGCTATTATTGAAAAATAACAGTTCTCTCCTTTTTTTGGGGGGGGGGATGTAACATTAGCTATGATAGTTATAATAAAAACAGAAAATGTTAATAAGATTTTACTTTTATTTCTTTACAAAAATTAACAGATTTGGTGAAAATGTATCAGACAATTGGTAGATAATATAATTATAACTAAGAAGCGATAATAACAATCAACTATCTAAATTTTATATGACTTCAACAGACATACACTGTATATGCACACAGTATCAGATATGCAATATTGCAACAATTTTGTGACAGAAATGTAAAACTTCCTGACAAGAACATTTAAACATATATGCTTTGTAAACATTTCAAAAATTTGTTCAGAGGAGAGTTGAATACATCAAAATGATCATTTGAAAGATGCAAAATACACTGTATTTATTTTTAAGTTCACTTAATGGTAAATCTTTCCTTTACATGAACATAACGAAAGCGAAAATGGGAAAGATTGCAACTGAAAGTGAATAATTATATGATGATCAACAGACTCTGACTTTGAATATCAACTAGTCTAATATTTTGAAATAATTTTTAATAAGTAACATTTAATTGGAGAACCTGCAGGAATCAAATTACCTAAACTTGATGGTAATATTCCAAAATGGAATGATTAAGATCATTGCAATCAATAATTTTGATTTTAAGACCAGTCATGAGAAATTATTGTGATCCATTTTTTTCCTTTCTTTTATAGGAAAAATTGTAATGTTATAAAGAGGTAGGTTTACCTCCCTTTACGGGCTGGCCATTAACCCCCTCTTTCCATACTTACCTGGGTATAAGGGTTTAATATATAGTTAATTCTCCTTAGATTATAATATTATGGTGGTCACATATTAAATATCTCAATGCTGGAGAAAATTAAATATAAATCAATTAATATGGAGTTAATTGAAATCAGCAATATACTAGTTCACTTAGAATAAGTTGTCAGTTTCTCTCTGATTATGCAGGTTGTTTCCTATTCTAGACAGGTAACTAAGCTAGTAAAAGTACTTAATGTTTAAAGCAATTGCTGAATTTTTTGAAATACATAAATACAATAAAATTAAACACTTTAAGGCAAAAAAAAAAAAAATAAAATAAAAAAAAATAAAAAAAAATCAAAAAAAGATAAATAATCAAGTCAAAATATTTCAACACAATGTTTCACATATACAGTAAACATTATTTCAAAACAAAATGATGTAAATGATTTGTATTTTAAAAAAACATCTCTAACCGAGTTGTGCTTTCAAAATGTATCAAATTCTAATTCAGCTACAAAGCTACAGGAATAAACAAGTCACTCTAAACAAAAATCAATAAGTTTGCTGGATGGTCATGATCATTAAACTAATTTTTGAGAGCTTCAGCCTTAGTATAAAATCATAGATATAAATGGCTTTAAATATATAGCGTGTGAACATTTGCAAGTATTTCATTTTAGGTGCATCTATTGGTTAATTTGTTGACCACCCACTCTGTTTGGAGCCTCAGCAATTAATTGTGATATCTACAATACTGCATTAGGTTGATTATAAAGTAATTACATAAAGACTTGAATTACATGTATGATAAGAATATTGACACTGAAATTGTTATTACATTTGCTCTGTTAAAAATATTAATTCATATACACTGTAAAAGTTTATACTCTCATGTACTCCAGTATTGTTCTGCAGGGACTAAATGACACAAGACACAGTCACATTAATAAACTTACAATATTTCTATACAGCAATTTTTTCATGAACAGATTATGCCAATAATTCTGTGAATTTACTTCATAAAACTATAGAATACAGTGTTGAACATAGAAGTATATCAAAGATACCAATTACTTGATGCAAGTGTATATTTCTAGTACTATTATCTCTAATCATCATTTAGCAGAACTCATTTTTTTCATTAAATTAAACTTTTAACATTAACAATTCATGTAATCTCAAAATATTTCATGTATATTAAAAATACCAAGTTCATGATGTTCATGTGTCATTAAAAAAGAATTTAAACAGTAAGGGTAAAACTAACTCACAAACATCAACACAGTATATACATAATTTATGATAAAATATTAACACAATATAATACAATGATCATCATTTTTTTGACATGAATCATTGTCATGTTCCTTAACATGCAACATTCAATTATTTTGTACATTTATTAATTGTCTGTTGAAAATTAATCCACAATAAAAAGTCATATAACAGTAATGAAGGATTCCTGTTTAGTCCAACTGTTTTATGATCAGTAATGAGCTGTTTGCAATTTTGTTTAGGCTATTCCATCATACATATAATAAAAATAGTTTAAATTATATATATGTTAAAAAAACAAACAAAATTTTACATCAAGTAATTGGTGGCTATAAGATACTGTATACAGGGAAATATTCGCCCCATTTCATTTTTCCCCTGTCATCCATCTAAATGGTAGACAAATTTAAAACGGGGTAAATTAAAAGAGCACAGTATGGTTTCTTCAATAAAACTGTGACTAGTGAAAATTTTAAACATTACAAAATTGTGTGAAAGGGTGAAAATAACAGCCTGGGCGAATATAACCCTGTATACAGTAATCAATGTACCAAATGTCACTAAGTGACAGTGGCACATTGGTAGCTGGGAGAGGGGACAAGATGACGTATCTCCCCCAAATAAATACTCATGCGTCCCTTATATCAGATTTATAAAGTATATATACAGTAAACCATTTTATGGTCTGACCAATATGCCTTAATCACATCAGTTTCACAATGAGGGAAGTTTGTGAAAATCAAATCAAGTTGTGAACCTGAATCATGAGTTACCTTTTTTACCAATTGTGTGAATTTTAAATTAAACTTCATAAACTTCAGAAATTCTTTCTGACCTGAAAACAAATAAAAATTGAAATCTCCAAGAATTATCAATTTTTTCTCTGTGTCTACAAAAGGTTTTAAGTGTAACATAACTTCACGTTCAAATTCTTTCAAAGAACATGCTGGGAACTTGTATAAAACAACTATCTGCACTTCTCCAAGGTCTCTGAAATTTATTAAAGCTATGATGAATTCAAGCAAAGTGTTGCTAAATTTCGAGATACATGTGATCGAATGGTCTTGTTTAACGTATAAAGCTGTTCCATGATGAGGACGATTGCTGTCACTTCTCTTTTCATGATTAAGCAAAGTCAAGTAACCTTCCATCATAAAATTCTGTTCATCATTGATGGTTAATCTTGTTTCTGAAAAACCAATAACATCTGATGCTACAACATTGGGTTCATTTTTAATTTCATCGAAATGTTTGTGAAGAGATCTTGCATTATTAAACATAATTTTTAGTTTGTTCTGCTCTGTTTTGTACAATGGAAGATAACACAGTTTTAGAGGTGCATCCTTCCTCATTCTTTCCATTTCTTCTACAATTTTTTCATCCACAGTTAATGCTTGCTCATTGAAATTCAGAATATGCAACTTGTCAACAGATCTAACTCTACTAAGAGCTACATAATGAATGTGGGGTGTTTTCCTTATCCTTGACTGAGACAAATCTACTACAATTTCATCAACAGTGCAGCCCTGAGCCTTATGGATTGTCTTACCAGCAGCTGGTCTTAAAGGAAACTGTATTCTTTGACATGTAGTTGAATTGAAAACAAAAGATCACTGACAGTCAAATATTGGTGTCCAATCATCCATAATATCATCATGGAAAAGATGTCTGTATTTCTGTCGAGCAATTCTCCCTACTGCAGAATCTAAAAACTTCACCCACACTATACTTGGCCTTGATACACCAGGTAATCTGTTTTCAACAAGAAATACAGTACATGATGAACCATTTGTCAAGCCATCAGTAACATCAATATTAACTGTAATGTCATATATCATTCCAATGGCTACAGTTAGTCTTGTTATTGCAGTTTTGCTTACATCATCTTGATTTTGCAATGAACTGAGTAGTCGGTCTTTCACAGACTTACTGTGGTCTTGGAGGACACTGTCAACAGCTTTTACAATGACTTTTTCACCAGGAAGTTGCTCTATAAGTTTATTGTTATATTCATCTACTTTGGCATTCATTGTGAAAAGATGGGGGGCATTGTGTGGATAATTTTGACTATTTTCAGCAATGATGCACTTGTGAATTATATCCAAGTCCTCAGAAGTCATCTCATTGTGACGAAGACGGTTCAAAAGCTGTGCGAATTCTAAATCATCCTTTTGTCGCATTACTTCATCTAACTCAAAGTGAAGTTTTCTTTCCAAAGATTACATGCAAGTGCTTGGGCATTCTGTTTTAAATCCTGAAAAATCCATCCATCCATGATTGGTTTAAGTTGAAAGAAATCTCCAACAACAATAATACTAATGTCTCCAAAGGGCCTTTTCAAACCAGTAAGAAGTTGTAATTGTAATTGTAATTGTAATATACAATTTATACAGCTCTCTATCGATTTGAGTCCTCTAAATCGCTTTACAATTAAGAATTAAAATATATCAAAGAGACAGTAATTAAAAATACAAAAATACATACATGTAAATAAAATTTGTCATGATGTCACTGTCCAATTATAAAACTACATTTATACTTGTCAAAATTTCTAAGTCCCCACTTCAAAAATTTAAAAATTGAACAAACCGTTTAAGGTAGGTATTTGAATTTCAAAACATCGTCTGCTAACGTAAAAACCAACAACATTACACAAAAGAAATGGGAATCGCACTTGTGATTAGTGGACCGTAACCGGGTTTGCTTACAATGAAAATCTCGTGTTCGATTGATTTTCCAGTCGCATGTTTAAAACGTGCTCTATTTTTAGTGTTCTCTATACTTAGTTACAAATGAAAAACATAATAAAAGTTCTGTAAAATGCCGCGTATGTCAGTGGAAGAACGTTCAAGAGCGGTTTGCATGGTTCAGGCTGGGCGCAGTTTGCGAGAGGTTAGCTTTCATTAAATATTGATACAAAATTTCCTCACATTTTTATATAATTGTTTTTATCAAAATAAAAGAACTGAATTAACTTCATAATCATTGTTGCAGGTTCACGATATTTCAACAGGGACCATAAGACTATCCGGAAACTAGTCCAAAAATTCAACGGAACCGGAAGTGTGACAGATCTACGACGACGGCCCAAACGGCGCGTGACGACCCGTCAACAGGACCGGTACATATCAGTTTCCCATTTGCGGGACAGGCTTTTGACGGTACGAGCTACTGCAAGACGTACACTTGGTACTCATGGAAGGCCCCTCAGTGACCAGACGGTAAGGAACAGGCTCAAGGAGACAGGATTAAGTGCAAGAAGGCCTTATGTAGGGTTAGTGCTCTCTGCAAGACATAGGCGACAGCGTTTAACATGGGCACGACGCCATCTGAGGTTTACGCGAGCGGACTGGGGTCAAGTGCTTTTTACAGACGAATCCAGATTCAATCTGAGAAGATCAGATGGTCGTTCCCGCGTCTACCGGAGAAGAGGTGAGCGATACGTAGATGCATGCGTGCGGGAAAGAGGGCAGTTTGGAGGGGGTTCTGTCATGGTTTGGGCAGGGATATCTTTGCATACCAAAACACAGATCGTACCAATCCATCAGAACTTAAACGCTGTGAGGTATCAGCATCTTGTACTGCAGCCTGTTACCATACCTCATATCCAGGCAAATAGAGGAATGATCCTAATGCAGGATAATGCTACTCCCCACACAGCCAGAACAACCCAACAGATGTTACAACATCACAACATCAGGGTACTGAACTGGCCCCCATGCAGTCCCGACCTAAATCCAATTGAGAATGTGTGGGACGAACTTGACAGGAGAATTAGGCAACTTCCACAGCAACGGAACCTGGCGGAACTTGAAAGAGATTTGGTAAACACTTGGAATAACCTTCCACAGAGGTTTTTACACAATTATGTTAATTCCATGAGGAGTAGATGTCAGGCAGTTATTCGAGCTAAAGGGGGACACACTCGCTATTAATTGAGACTTTTATTTTGTAGAGTACCTATTGTCTTTGTTCTTCAATTAAACGATGCAAACAACGATTAAAAAGAAAATGTTTTTTTTCCAATTTATGAGAGGTTTTTCTTTATGTCAAACAAATCTTTAGTCGAAATAAAGTGATACAGAAATAGTAGGCGACGAAAACCTAGGTGGGGACTTAGAAATTTTGACTAGTATATATTTAAAAGAGAATCACAGATTAAAGGCTAGCTTAAAAAGGTGAGTTTTAAGATCCTTTTTAAAACAAGGCAGTGAAGCACATTCTCTAAGGTTAAAAGGCAGTGAGTTCCAGAGACTCGAGGCGGCCTTGTCTAAACGACGGTCTCCGTATGTTTTAGTGCGTGTCCGAGGTACCTGGAGTAGATGTGCGGATTCTGAACGCAGTGATCGTGGCGGGTTGTAAACAGTTATGATTTCTCTCAAGTAGGCTGGAGATAGGCTGTGAAGGGATTTGAAAGTGTACAGAAGGATTTTATATTGTATTCTATATTCAACTGGGAGCCAGTGGAGTTGGATTAGAGTTGGAGTTATTCGATCAGATCTTTTGGAGCGTGTGATTAGTCTTGCAGCAGTATTTTGTACTCTCTGAAGTTTGGCGATATGGTGGGTAGGAACGCCGTATAGCAATGCATTGCCGTAATCTAGTTTAGAAGTTACTAAGGAATTAACTAGAGCTTTACACGCTTCGTCACTAATATAGGAACGGATACGACCAATTCTGCGAATGTTCATATATGCCGAGCGTGAAATTGAGATGCATTGCTTTTCCATGGATAGGGTTTTGTCGAAGAATACGCCTAAATTTTTTTTTACAAAAGATGCATCACTAACAACACAACCACCAAATTCTAACTCAAAACTCTTCATATTTGTAAGTCTTTGTTTTGGTGCGAAAACGATAAGTTCGGTTTTGTCTTCGTTTAATTTGAGGAGGTTGGCACTCATCCATTTACGTATGTCCGATAAACAACACGAGAATCTTTGGGACATATCGGTCCAATTATCGCTTGGTTCAACGATGATGTATATCTGAGTGTCGTCGGCGTATATATGGTACGTCATTTTATGACGTCTACAGATTTCGCTGAGGGGTTTAGAGAACAGACAATAGAGTCTCGGACCTAAAACCGAGCCCTGGGGTACGCCGAATTTTAGAGAACTTGCATCAGACAACGATGAACCAACCACGACACGTTGTTTTCTGTCACTGAGGTAGGATTTGATCCATTTCAACGCGGATCCGGTGATACCAAACATATTGTCCATACGTTGAAATAGAATGTCGTGGTCTATAAAGTCGAAAGCCGCGGAGAGGTCGAGCATAACAAGAACAGACATACGATGTCATGGTGAACCTTCATCAGCGCAGTTTCCGTGGAGTGTCCAGTTCTGTACGCAGACTGAAAATTATCATGCAGTTGATACATCTCCATATGAGCGTCGATTTGTTTTGCTACAACTTTTTCAAGTAATTTTGAAATAAAGGAGAGATTCGACACAAGATGGGTAATTTTTGAAATTTTCTTTATCTAAACCTGGCTTTTTAAGCAACGGTCGAACAATTGTCTGTTTAAAGACACCAGGGACGTTAGAGTCCGACAGCGACTTGTTTATGATTGACGTGATAGTCGGCAGGAAACTCCCAATGCACTGCTTCAGTAGATGTGTAGGTAAGGGATCAAGTTCACATGATTTTACCGATGCTTTCACTAAGAGTTTTCGAATCTCTTCTGCAGTTGCTGTCGCGAAATTAGAAAGCTGTTGACCATCAAATGAACTGTCAGCGTGAAAGGGATCTGTTACATCAATATTCGAGGTGTTTGACTTACACAGTGATACTCGGATATTGCGTATTTTTCCTTGAAAATATTCAGCAAAATTTTCGGATAATTCCTTTCCGCTTGCAGATGATGGTAAAACCGGGTCGGACTTGATTCACATAAGCTGGTTCGTCAAACAGTAAAGCTTTTTGGTGTCTCGACCACACTCGGTGATTTTATTTGAGTAGAATTTCTTCTTGCTTTGTGTTAAGGAGTTGCTGTATGATCTAGATGATTCTTGGTATATAAGATGGTGAACAGTCAACTTTTCCCGTCGCCAAGTGCGTTCTGCTTTTCGCTTATTTCGTTTGAGTGTATGCAGATCTTCTGCAAACCAGTGTGCGTTCTGCCGAATTACTTTAGTTTTCTCGTGCAACGGTGCATGATCATTTAACACCTCGCAAATACGCTCGTTGTACAGGTCTACCATGTTTTCAATTGGAACATCGCTCCGTATTTCCGATAGACGTGATTCAATATCAAGGCAAAATTTATCGTGATCAATTTCGCGTAATTTGCGAAAAGAGAACGCCTTCCTTTGTTTTTGTGGTTTTTGTGCTAGAAGGGTAGCATGAATCCCTT